AACATTTGCACAGTTTTCCGAGACATATATGCCGAGAAACTTTAGAGTTATAGTACTGGGGCTTTTTCAGTCATATTAAGTTACCACATAACGGTATACAAGCAATTTATGTCAAAGTTGTGATGACTGGGCGAGTCTGGTGGCCGCTATTAAGCTGATCTGGTGGGGGAGACCTGAAAACCAAAGTTACTGTGGGACTGCTTTATTTTTGCAAAGGCTCCTGAGTGTGAGTCAGCATCATAGATAAAACACAAACCTTCTAAATCCAAGTACATGAGCATGTGAGATAGTTAATTGCAAGCCTAGATAGCAGTGTAGATAATTCCAAGGACCAAAGAAGTTCGTGAAATTAATTCACCATTTAACGATCAGTTTGTTTGTCTTTACTGGTTGAAACTCAGGTTGTATTATTGCGTTTTTTGGGGACAACCGTTCGGCAACTTTGTTCTGGTGTGATTGTGTATCTATACACACCCTTCAAATCAAGTCAATACAAACATCGTTAAGCAGCCGGAAACGTTATATCCTTCCTTTCCTTGGTGTGGGGTTGCTAAGAACACACAGTCAACCAGACTAGATTTTTTCGAGGCGAAAGTGCCAAGTAGTGGTAAGTAGTAAAAGCTCATATCTGGCATAATAGTTGGCTACACACCAATAGTCAATTTTTTGTTAGTCAAAACCAACTAGAAGCGAGGTTGAAGTCGTTCAAGCAGCCTAACTAACTGGTTTCCTATAATATTGTTTAGATTCCGTCTTTCTTCTAAATATTTATTACACTATGGTGTTTGAGTCCAGCTTTTTCCCATAATCTCTCATTTTAATTACTAACCTAAATATTTAGCAGCTGTCACTCATCTCTTAGTGCTATACAAATTAACATTACCATTATAAAATTGCAAAACCGTAACTGTTCAGTAAAAAATGAGCCATGTATTTGGTGAATATTTCTTCATATTAACACTGATTGGCTGCTTCTGCACCTCCCCTGTGGTCAATTCTAGAACATTTTTAATTCCATCTGTGAAGATTAATGGGCTTAACAACGACTCTTATTCCTAACACTTGTGCTTTTTAATATTGCGACATTTTTATCTCGCTAAGCTACAAATAATCTGGGTAAAGAGGAAAGGTTGGGGATGAGGCTAGCAACCCCATCCTGCAAAATAAACACTGCTACAGAAACTTCAAGACACTAGCTTAAGGCCCTATGTTCCACTGGGTGATGTGAAGGAAAAAAATACTATCTATTACCTTTATGATCAGTAACCAAACTATATGAATATTTTGCGTGCTGATAGTATATTGCCCAGGTTTGCTTACTGATGAGAATAACCAGCATAATATCTAGAGGTCATTCTATTCTGCCAAGCATGTTTTCCTTTCCCTGCACATCAATGAAATCACCTCAGTGAGAAAAGTGATAACCAGCATATTAATAAAAGTAACACATCACGTAATAAGTAGAACAAAGTTTGCCGAGTAAAATGAGATTCATTACGGTGCCTATCTTTATGCTCACGTAACCCTTAAGCGACCTGACAGATATAGGTTGAATAAAATGAAATTATATTTTGCCCCTTATATTCGTTATAATGGTAAGTGCATTGAAAAGAAGAATATTCTGCACCAAAAATTTTTTTAACGGGGAATCATTAGAACTGCATACTGTATACATTGATTTATAGTAACTGACACTACCTCATCTACATACTGTTTTGTTTGATCCAACCACGTTTCAAGGCCATCAGCGATGTCTATTTTGTCGCTTTTTCATATTCCTAATATGTTGGGGTTTTGTTCTTCTCTTGTATTTCAATTTTCACATCATTGAACGTTATCATTTATCCGCCTTTTCATTAAAAGTAAGGCCAATTTTTGTGTTTCATGAGTCGTTCACCAAATAATTGATGCTAACCCAAGAAATTAATGTTGAGGCATTTTAAGAGGTATCTTAGGGGCAATTTTGGAGTAATCTCTGGGGCTTCAAGGGGTTAATTTGGGAGCTATTTCGGAGAGATTAAGGGAAATTTTGAGGCGAAAATTTGGGGTATTGTTTTTGGAAACTTTGGGGGATATTTCGAGTTTTGAGATTTTCGGGTTCTGGGGAAAAAGCATAACGATACTTCTGACATTCAGCTGCCTCAAATTTCCCTAAAATACCACTAAATCACCATAAACGTTTTTATTCGAGAAATATCACTCATTTAGCCTGGTGAGGAAAACATGACGGATGTATGATAAATGTACGCGAAGGGATATAAATATCCTTTAGTCATGCAAACCTGGGTGGCTAGATGTCTTATTAAATCTCCCAGCTAGCATTGATTTTAGGAGCACTGCAGACGCAGGTATTCCATTATCTTATATCGTTTTCACGAGCTAGATAACCAATTTGGGTTCTTTGTGCTCGCTTCTTGATTGTGGGGTAGAAGTTCCTGGTCTTCAGTTAGCTACTGCGCAGTTTATCTCACCACTCGACTGTCGTAGCTTTGGCAGACTCTACAGCGGTAGGTAATTCCCCAGAACTATTGGCCACAGCATTCACCACTGAAAAGTGGAATCTGACCCTCGTTGTTTTAGTCGATTTGTTTGGCTGCAGGCCTCCAGACAAGCATCTACGCCATTTGATCCTTTCACCAGTTAGCCATCCATTGTCGTCGTCAAAAGAATTCTAGGCCTAATTATCTAACGTCCAGGGTTTTCGGAGTCCTTTTTCATGAAACCAGGAGAGCATTGTATATAAGTATAAAACTTGGGCACTGTGGTAGAGTATAATTCCATTATAGATAAGATTTTATTCTGATAAATCGCACAGTGTTTACAGTTATATGAACTGATGACGTTTCGAGCACAAACTATTGCTCATAATCATATCATATCAACTTGATATGATTATGAGCAATAGTTTGTGCTCGAAACGTCATCAGTTCATATAACTGTAAACACTGTGCGATTTATCAGAATAAAATCTTATCTATAATGGAATTAGAGCATTGTATAATAGTAGAGTTACGAAAACGTCCGGCGCACCGCATACACTGACAACTTGAGTTTTCACAGTTCGTCCTGTGTATTTTTTTTAGGTGTGCTGGTCATAGAGTGATTTAAATAATCCCTATATGTTGCGTGCTCGTAAAAATGATACAGTATTTCAGATAGTACTTATCATACTTTTCGGGGACATATGGGTCTAAAGATATTGGACGCTTCACTTATTTGGGGATTCAAATCAGCTATAATCGATTGATTGCTGACGGAACCTTAGCATGGATACAAAAGACTCGTGTGCCACTTTCTGACTTACGTTATCCCTGGCGTAGACGTGATATGCAGCTATTGACCAAAGAAGACGTTTACTTTGCAGCAGTTTGCTTTGTCATCCTGTATTAATATCAGACATGGAATTGGGAGATATGAAAAGACTAGCTATCTCTGACCACAGATGTTTGCAATCTATTTCCCGCGTTTTGGTGTAGAATGTGAGTAATATTGAGGTTAGGCGTAGTGTTAGGCAAAGAATGAAATTCAGTCGATGAAGTTATGTTGCTTCGTCTGTTGATAAGTGACTGGAACACGTGTAACGTATGCCAAGCCACTCATCGAGTAGTATTAGTTGACATAAAGTTAGGCTAGGAAAACGTTGAGAGTGTTCAAACCAAGAAATGCATCAATACCTAAATTATCTGACTGCCTTTTTGAGTCTCATAGGGAGATGTAGACTGTCTAGTTAGGATTCCAGGGATGCTAACAAACAGTGACTGGAGAATGGTGGTTATAAGTCCTTCTCAGTGACGCAGATGCATCCACTCTTTGTAATCTCCCATGTCTAACAAGTAATCATGTGTTTCAGCGTTGCCATTCTTGCTACCGTATATGTCTGCTAATTATAGTTCTTCTGAATTTGTTATCTGCCTTTAAGTGCTACACGGAGTGTGGTTACTTGAAATTGCTTCTCTTCTGTGTAAAGTTTTGTGTTTAAACTCAATCAGATTGATGTGTAATCTATCTGTAATTATGGGGTGACAACTGAATGCTGCACTGTTTTTGATGAGGTGGCACTATAATTATGTCAAAGGTTCCAAGTTAAGTTCAGTAACACGTGAAACTTAGTACTCAGTTTCAGTTGTGTACAATTCGGCCCCAAAACTCCTGGAGAATTCAAAAAGAAAGGAACCCACATAACTTATACAGCTAAAAAGAAATCATATGGTGTACAGATGATTTACATCTGCAGTCAGTTCATGAATTAACTGGAAACCAATCAGATCCCTGCAAACCAGGACTTGGAAAATGAAGAAAATTCTGTGTAATCTCTGCTTATCTAAAACACAGATGACCATAATTGTAAAGATGTAAGAAAGAAAGTGATTAATCTGAGAAAAAAATCTTACCAAGACCACTTATTAGCTCTTATTCTTCGTGTACCGATAAATATGGTTGTGGTTTACGTGGCATCTAACTCGATATGACTTTAAGCTCATTCGCCAACTACTTTTGGGGATTCAACCTCTGTTAGTAGTATTCGGCATAAAACAAATTAAGACTAATGAAGTTTCTCGTGATCAGAATCCGCAAACTATTTAACTTTCTTCACAAGGAGGTCGTGATATCCTTATCACCAGTATCCTTCGAAAGCAGGAGGTGTATCGATTTAGTTTATTGATACAAAAGGTTGATACTCCTAATACACACAGTAACAACATCCATCCTAAATAATCTACTGTGATTCTCTCAAACTCCTCAGGACCAGTAAAATGATATATATATATATATATATATATAGCATTTCCTACCACCGCATATGTAAGACCTGAGGAACTATTTGTTTGTTATTTTTATTTTGTAGAATTTGAATTTGTTTTAGCTTTCGTATAATTTATCTCCATTCCAGGACCTCTTTCTGGCTGAGTGAATACATACTGCTCCTCTTCTACTGGTTCAATTCTACCAATCCATTCTTAGACTGAGAAAAAAATCTGTCAACAAAGAGTGAACTAAATATGGATCAGCTGGACCGGTTAGATGAATTGCCTACTGTTGATGATGTATTGAAGCGCAATTATGAAGAGTACCAAAACTATTCCGTCGACTTTTTACAGTACAAAGAATTCTGTCAGTATGGCTTGGCAGAAACCATAACAAAAGTCTATGATTGGTGTTCCCATCTTCAGTGTTTAAGTCCCTTTGATCCATGTGTTCCGTTGAGTGATGTAGAATTTAAAAATAAGTGAGTTTTTATGTTGTACACTGAAGGAGATTTATTACTTCTCTATCAGTTAAACAATTTTATTTCAAAATATTGTGTATTCTTCTTGATTTTGCAAAAGTGTGTGTTTCGTATTAGCAAGAATATGAATATTACTGAAGACTACCAGTAAATGATAAAAATGGTTAGATTACATAAAGAATAATTATATTTCAATAGTTTACACACAATGATAAGTTTTAATATTGGTAATATTTCGAGCAAAATTACTGCCCGTGTTCACACCACTGTTGGAATTGTTTTATTCCATGTAATAAAGGAGTGCGTCTGTGGCCGGGGATCAAACCTCGGATCATGTGCATGGTCGGGGAACGTCCTAACCGCTATGCCACCGACACATACTTTGTCTTAATTAGCTTAGGCGTAGAACTTAGGGTAAAGAACCTACCTAACAGCCTTCGTTCTGCTTTTTTAGACTGATCAAAAACTGGGATATTTTAACTTTGCATATGAAAGCCAAATATTCACACCGATATTTGGATTTCTGACCATCCCCACCCTCCTATTTCAACAAAAACAGGATTGGTGAAATATTTAAGTAACAGGGGACAAACACTCAGTACTACCAAGAGAAGCTTTGAAACTTAGTAATTACCCTGATATATTAATCAGGAAGTATGTGGGTAAATGGAAAGATAAAATTAATAATCCAGAAATAGTGGTGGCAAAGACGAAAGGTTTGGCATAAGGCTAGCAACCCCGTCATGTAAAATAAACACTGCTACAGAAACTTCAGGCTACTAGCCTGAAGGTGCCCTATGTTCCACTCAGAAACATGAAGGAAAAAAAGAAGAAAAAAGAAGTAGTGATAGTGGTAATTCTAATGTTAATGACGACATGCATGTCAAACATGCACAGGATAGTGCCGACTGCAACAAAAGGGAATATAAATCATCAGTAGTACTCCCATAAAAAGAAGAAACCTCGGAAACCTTACGCAGATTTCCTAAAAATGCAGCAATAAAAGTGGCATTCTGTTACCCACATACCCAATTAGAAACAAGCTCTTTCGGTTAAAGGATCCTGACTGTGGAAACAACAATTTAGTTTATCTAATGCCCCGCCTGCAATAACTGTCCGGTCAAATACATAGGTCAAAGTAGTAGAACATGGGGCAGTCAGACTAGCGAAGCATGGAAACCTAGCAAAATCTAGGTTAGTTGACCCGAATAAGATAAGAAATCTAGAGAATAGCTCAGTCATTTCACACACCACATGCAAATACACACAACCATACAAGAGGATGGATAGGATAAGATGACAGTTTTAAAATCTAATGTAACTTCAGGGTGAAGGGAGAAATTGACAATGGAAGCTTTGTTTATCGAATCAGCTGCAACACGTGTAATAGGAATGACTCAACACCTGTCCCAGAGGGATATCTGGAAAATCATACTTCCCCGACGGTGACAAATAGGAGAGGATAAAGAAAACTATAAAAGTCAAGTTTCGAAGTCGTGTGATTATAACTGACGATATGATTATGAACAATAAATTTTGTTCGAAACTCTGTCATCCAGTAAATAATCCTTTTTCACTGTGTCATATATCTAATAAACAAATTAATATGGAACTACATAATACCACAATGCCCAAGTTCTACATATTTGACAATTCGAAATGTTCGCCAGCTCTTGACCTTATCTAGGGTAAAGTGACAGTGAAAAGTAGTCAATTGTAACTAGGTAAACTTGTGGTGCCTCTCCTTTCATCTAGAGCTTCAATTCTAAAACATAATACACGTAGGTAGGTAGGTAGGTGGTTGATTTTTGAATCTGTGTTTATTGAATCTACACCCCCCAACACATACAATAGAAATGTCTCAACACCAGTACCAGAGATACAAAAAATATTACTATGAATAAAGTTAAAGGTTTAGATATAGTGGAATTATGCAAACGAAGTTGGAAAGTTATATGAGTGTCTTGATATGATTATGAGCAATAAATGGTGCTCGAAAAGTCATCAGTAAATAATACTCCACCATTCAGTGTGTGTGATTTTATTAAATAAATTAACTCCTTTACCCCGCTAAGCCAGAAATAATTCTGGTAAAGAGGGAAGGTTGGGCATGAGACTGGCAACCCCATCCTGTCAAAGTTAAACACTGCTACAGAAACTTCAAGCCTCTAGTTTGAAGCCATATTTTCCACTGGGGAACGTGAAGGAAAAAAATGGTTGATTACTTCAGAAAACAGTACCGAAAGGTCAACAAATATTTTTAAAATCTTGGATAATGCAAGACGCAAATGCATGATAATGCAAACGAAGTGGGAGTTAATAATGCGCAAAAACTCTTGGACAATCATTTATGATGCTGAAACTTTCATACTTTTAAAAGCAATCGTCTACATATATGTATGTACCTAAACATCAGTTTGTATGAGCATTGAATTCTTGAAAACAATAAGTTTATGAGAAAGATAAGCAGTGGCATCAATTAGGTGTGGTGAAATTTGATACAGAAACTAATCTAATCTAATCAAAAGAAGTTTGCGGCTATTTCAAAATTCTAGTTGAGATATTTGAGACATTTCTAGCTTGATAGAATAATTAAAAGTCAATCTGATCGAAGAATATTATTTTCAATAATTTCCCCTCTTCAGATTCTTACAATTATAAAATGTAATATTTGTTGTCGTTACAGAAATGCGAGCCAATTATGCGGCGGATACATTTTTTGACGTACAATAACAGATTAGATGGAGGATTTCATCATGAGCTGACATTAGTTAGAGAACCATTGGAAAACTTGGGAGTACTGAACAGCTGTTTCGTCCTAGTTTTTTGAGAGTCTTCAGCAGTGCGCACCCATCGGTGTTCGAACCCAGAACTTTTTGGTTACAGGGGGAGCTCGTAGACTATCAGGGACACTGGGTCTTTATCTAATAATAATCATAACAATAATAATAATAATACTGATAATAATAATAACAATAATGACGACACCAACAATAAGGAATCTAAATCATCAGTAATAATTCCATACAAGGAAGGAACCTCGGAAACCAGCTTACGCAGAATTCCTAGAAATGCAGGAATAAAGGTGTCTGGGATTCAAACCCACAAACTCAATTAGAAACAAGCTTTGTCGGTTAAACGATCAATCCTGTAGAGCCAATACAATCAAAAGAATTTAGTTTGTCTAATACCCTGCCTGCAATAAATTTTGTTCGAAACTTTGTCATCCAGTAAATAGTAATACTGTTTCACTGACTGTAAGATACATCTAATAAACAAATTAATATGGAATAACTTATTACCACAGTGCCCAAGTTTTACACATATATTGTATGTGGTGTTGTTTTCTGTTCACTAAGCCGGAGGGTTGGTTGCTAACTGAGGAACTTTGGTTTTCCTCCTGAACACTTAGCATATTCAGTGCTAATTTCAGTGTAAAGTCACAATGTAGTTGATTATGTTGGCCAGAAAGACAAATGATATCTGAAATAAACAAACCCTTCCTCTACACTGTTCCTAAATTCTGAATATTTTTTTCCGATCGATAACTTTGTCATGTTTATTTAAAAAAAAAGGTATTTATTCGTGATTCTTTAAAATATTTTTTAAAAAATACCATTCTTCTTTTAAAAAAATCAGGCAGATCGAACTCGTTCAGGTTGTCCCAACCAGTTACAACAACACCAGCGGCAACAACAGCATCGGCAGCAACAACACCAACACTGATAATAATAATCTTATCAGTTCACTAATCAATGAAACCATGACAAACACATCATCTCTTTCAACCTATGATTATATGCAACAGATTAGTAATAATTTAACTGGGTGTTATGATGATTTCATCTGTGATAAACAATACAACAGTTATCCTAATTATTGTATTCTAGGCGTGGTATGCTTCACGCTATGCTTATGCGGAATTATAAGCAATTTAATTCTACTGCCAGCGTATAATTTCGGATTAAATCGGTCTGGTGCAACGGTTTATCTAAGTGCAATGGTACTATTCGATTGTATTTATATGATATTCACACTATTAATCTATGTGATTCATTATATACCATCATCGTTTATTGAACAAATGGAAATGTATGGACAATTTTCAGGATATTTAATACCATGGGGTTTGCCTATCTTACAGATATGTGAATTATTAGTGGTAAGTTTTAAATAATTAATATTTTTTTGTATTTTGTTATTATGGATAATAATAATAATGACGATAGCTGTATTCTGAAAAATGCGTTTATATAAACAGTTGGGAATCTTCAGCAAGTTTACTGTAAGGTATTGTGTGTATTGATCATATTTTCACCCTTCGGCAGATTTTGGAACATAGGCATTCCTACCGGCGTCTAACAATTATTATTATATTCCTTGACCTAAAGGCGGAATTCTATTCTGTTGACCGAGAGGTACTCTGGCGATGCTTGGCTGTAAAGGGAATGCCGAGAAAATATATTGCACTGATTGAGGCACTCTACTCGAACTCATGCACTCAGCCAGGTGGAGGGCTTAAGGTGACGACTAGTGGTGTACATCAGGGATGCCCATTATACCCTTTTCTATTCAACTTCATCATAGATGTACTAATGGACTTAACCGTAACTCACGTCAGAGACTCAAGGATTGACTTGCTACTAGCGACCGAAAGCTGCTACCTTGACGTGGTGGTCGGGGTTGAACACCGCAATGACCTAATCAAGCTATACTGGCTGAGACTTATGTCTCTTGAGGTCTACCATGCCAGACAGGTTGTTTGGATAGCGGTTAAACAAAAAGCAGCTACCCAATCCAACATCATGTCCAATACAAAATCACAAAATTTCATGCCGGATCGGCCGTGGCCCGGATTAACAACGACCGCGCTTCCTGCTGCCGTGTCACAGGGCAGGAGTGATAAATGTGCTACTGAGACACACAAAACAAAAAGAACAAACAAAAAAAGGCCGCGTGTGACCGGCCTCAAGCAGTTGTCCCCTGGGCTCTGCGGTCACGCAACCAACTTCCACGGTGTGGGCAGCCGGGAAGTAACAATCGCCCTCACAATCCGAAATGCACGCGAAACCTCTCTATTACTCACTCATCTTTGTCTTCATCTTCATCTCTATCATCTTGCCTTCCTTCCACTGATGCAACTCCTCGACTTGATAGCTCTCCACTTCCTCTCCACTCTGCGTCCACTAAAAACGATGGAAGCCAAAAAACCACCACCGACAGCCTCTTAAAGCCGCGCCACCAATTTCATATAGGAGCTCTTAATGTTAGGACACTTTGCCAAATAGGACAACAAGCATCACTAGCCAAGACCCTGGCATCACGAGCCATTGATGTATGCTGTGTTTCAGAAACACGCATACAAGACCCAAGTGTGGTTATTCACCTAACCCCACCTGGCCAACAGGTTGAATCTGCAAAATTCACCTTGAGGGTGTCAGGAGATGCCACAGCTAGTTCACGAGGATTAGCTGGCGTAGGGATAGCTTTGAGTACTAGGGCAGAAAAGACATTGCTTGACTGGATCCCGGTAGATAGCCGAATGTGTGCTGTCCGTCTGAACGGATCAGTAAAAAGGAGAAAGGACTGCACTACTCGCCGATGCCTTTTCGTAATCTCCGCCTACGCCCCCACTGACTGCAGTTCAGATGAAACGAAGGATGAGTTCTACCAAAAGCTGTCTAGTTTGGTGCGAAAGGCTAAACGCTCAGACATAGTCGTTCTAGCTGGTGACTTTAACGCTCAAGTAGGGAAATTGTGTCAATCTGAGAAGGATGTCGGTGGCACCTATGGAGTCCCGTGCCAGCGAACCGACAACGGTGACCGTCTCCTACAGTTCTGTTCTGATAATCATTTGTTTCTTGTAAGCACTAACTTCAAACACAAGGAGAGACACTGTTTGACTTGGAGACCCCCTTCATCAAACCAACGCTGGACACAAATAGACCACATAGCAATAAGCTATCGTTGGCGTGGGTCGGTAGGAGATTGTCGCTCCTTCTGGAACACGTGTGTAGATACCGACCATGCACTGGTCCGCGCTCGAGTGTGCTTACGACTGAACGGACGTAGGAAACAGCTGGCGGTAAAACCATCACGTCCCCAGCTCGATCAGGAAACTAAATCCGTATTTGAGGAAGAACTAGCTAAACACATATCTGTGTTCGACAGCTGTGCTCACCCTGAAGAAGCTTGGAAAAATATCCAGGCAGCCATAGATACAGCTGTAAAAGCTGTGAATAAGGTAAACCCAAAGGTGAGTAAAAACCACTGGATCTCCACCGCCTCATCCGAACTGATAGATGCTAGAAGACTTATTCCGGCGAGCTCCGAATTCAATGAGGAGCGAAAGCTGCACAAGAGGAAACTTACGAAAAGTCTCCGCAAGGACCGTGAACAGTGGTGGGTGACAAAAGCCAAAGAGATGGAGAAAGCTTCGAGGATAGGCAACACCAGGCAACTCTTTAGACTCATCAGGGAAACGGGTGGGAGAAGACAAATCATCAGTGAGACAATCTCGGAAAAAAATGGCACTATAATTAGCTCCCAGGATAGACGACTGGATCGTTGGAAAGAGCATTATGAGGAGCAGTTTAATTGGCCCACAGCCACGCTCAACCTTCCGAGCATCCAACACCTCCCTGAATGGGATATAGATACAGGTCCTCCGTCCTTAACTGAGGTTACTAAAGCTGTCACCAATCTGAAACTAGGCAAAGCAGCGGGACCTGATGGAATGACGCCAGAGGTATTTAAGTACGGTGGAGACAGCTTACTGTCTGCATTAACTGAGGTACTAGGCAGCGTCTGGGAATCAGAAGAAGTCCCATCGGGTTGGTGTAAGTCACTGATTATCCCCATATACAAGAAGGGAGACAAGTCTTCCTGTGATAATCACAGAGGGATTAGCTTGACTAATATAGTATCTAAAGTCTTAGGCTCAATAATCATGCGTAGACTGAGTGGTGCTCGGGCGGCACAAACACGAGAGAGCCAGGCAGGCTTTAGACCAGGAAGAGGGTGTATTGATCATATCTTCACCCTCCGACAGATTCTAGAACATAGGCATTCCTACCGGCGTCCAACAGTCATTATATTTCTTGACCTAAAGGCAGCATTCGACTCTGTCGATCGAGAAGTTCTCTGGAGATGCTTGGCTGTAAAGGGAATTCCAAGAAAATATATTGCACTGATTAAGGCACTCTACTCGTACTCATCATCAGTCAGGTGAGGGCTTAAGGTGACGACTAGTGGTGTCCATCAAGGATGCCCATTATCCCCTTTTCTATTCAACTTCATCATAGATGTGTTAATGGACTTAACCCTAAGTGACTTCAGCGACTCAGGGATTGACTTGCTACTAGGGAATAATCTCGTTGACTTGGAATATGCAGACGATATAGTCCTTCTAGGCGAAGACGCTGACAAAATGCAGAGTCTTCTAAACACCTTAAGCTGCAATCTACGAATGTTTGGCATGCGATTCGCTCCCGCCAAATGCAAGATGATGTTACAGGACTGGACTACACTGGCTTCTGGTTTAGAAATAAGGAGTGAAGTAGTAGAGCACGTTGACCGCTTCACTTATTTGGGAAGTACCATCAGCCAGTGAAAACGGGTTGATCTCTGACGAAATCTCGGCACGGATACAGGTGGTTCGTTTCGCATTTGCCAGTTTACGCCGTCTCTGGCGTAGACGAGATATTCGACTATCGACCAAAGGGTGAATGTACTGCTCATCAGTCCTCTCTGTCCTCTTTTATGGCTGTGAGACCCGGCCACAGAGAGTGGAAGACATGAAAAGATTAGCTGTCTTTGATCATAGGTGCCTACGCTTTACCTCCCATGTGAAGTGGTATAATGAGGTGAGCAATATTGAGGTTAGTCATCGGTCGAGTGGTAGGTAAGGAGGGGAGATCAATCGATGAGGCTGTGACATTACATTGACTGAGATGGTTAGGACATGTGTTACGTATTGCTAGCCTAGTCATCGCCTTCCTCGACAACAGGCAATGTTAGCTGACACAGAGTCAGACTGGAAAAGCGCTAGCAGCGGTCAAACCAAAGCATGTCGCCAGTCAATGAAATCCACAACAGTTAGTGTTAGCTAGCCACGTAGGAAGGGGTAGACTTCCTGACTGGTTGGGGTCCTCGAGACGGTAAAAACCAATGGCTTTAAGCCATAGGCGATATGGCTCAGTGATCGTTCTCAATGGCTGGCGCAGATGCATCCACTCCTTGTGACTTATGATGTCAAATAAAACCATATTGTTCTTCTATATTACTATTCCTTTGTCTCACACCTCTGTTTACTGTCTCTGTTATGCATTTCTTCTACTTTCTTCTGTCGCTTTGTGTGCGACTTGAACTGCAGTATATCTCCATTTATTTTTAAAAATCCATAGTTGCAGGTAAAAACTTATTTTGAAATTGTTACCGAGTATAGACTGCAACTCTTCGGGATAATCAGATCATTAAGACAATATGAAACGGGGGTAAGTATAATGCTGCATTGGGATAAATAGGAAATTTAGGTACCCCAGTGATTCAAGCAGGCCGCCCTGTTTTTTAAAATCTAAACAAAAGATGCATTAGACGGAAGAATTAATCGAAAAATCTTGAAATGATAAATCAACGACTATATTTCAATGTACTAGTCATCTTGTAGGTGCGTCGGTGGCATAGTGGTAGGATGCTCGCTGACCACGCCTTATGTGGTCCAGGGTTCAACCCCCATCCGGCGCACTCATTTACCTCGCCAAACCAGTAATAAGACTGGTGAAGAGGGAATGTTGGGCATGAAGCTGGCTAGCGACCGCATCATGTTAAATTAATCACCATGGCTATAGAAACTTCAAGTTTCTAGCTTGAAGCCGTCGCTATGTAAAAGGAATAAAAAAGCAAAAATATATTTCCCATAGACAAAGGAGTTGACTTGTTATTGGCTCAGTTGATAACAGCTCATAGCTAAATTAATTTAATCGGTTTCCTAGACAAACACTGAGTCAAATCTTAACATTACTTACTTTTGGGCTTTTCTAGCGCAATAGCCGTAGGACGAAGGTATTTGCGATCTAAATACTGTAACTTCTTAATGACCTCTGTCTTCATCGCGACTATGTTTCACTATTGTAAATTAAGACTAGGCAGAATAATAATAAT